CACGTTTCACCTAGTACCTCTCTCATAAATCTAGTACAATTTGAATTACATTTCGTGCTACTGGTATCGACACGAGTGTCGCTCTTCGCTCTGTATAATACCGTACTCGAGTTCTGAGCTCTACTCATTACTGGTGAGTTGGGTGTTGCGTTACATGTTCCAGGGCTGGGATCACGCAAGTATAATTCTATATTAGGATTTGGCGTTCCGAATATGAGGCAATTCTACTCTGATTATGTGATGTGTCAATTGTGTCATACTCCCCTAACTCCCTCTCTATCAAATTCTGGGCCTGCGAGTCACATCACTATCAGTAGCTTATACTGATGATGTCGGCCGCAGACTTTATGAAATACTTGCGATTCAGGCTGTGCTAGTGACTTAATTTTTTCGTCGATTTTAAATGTAGAAAAGGTGATTTTCCGTCTCTCCTCACAGAAGTTCTTGATCCTTGGGTATCCCAGAATATGATGGTGGGGAAGTATGACACTTGGACGTATGACGTAATTGACATATCACATAATTACTGTATTCCTTTTATACATCGAGTTACACAGAACGAGCTCCTCCAAAACACACAATTCAGATTTTATCATTATTTTTTAATATTAACATTACCGTCATTACCTAAAAGGGCTTCTTGCACCCTTCCCCCCGCAAATTTGATGCATCAGGGAAAAGGGGGATGCACTATGAACGACTAGAGTGCTTAACGCACTTTTAAAAGAACGTTCAAGCTTTTGACATTGAGCAGCTCCGAGTAACTCAACGGGTAAAAGGAATACAGTAAATCCAGTATAAGCACTGATCTCAAAAATAAATGGATAAACAATCGTACAGCTTGATTGGCTAAACTTGTGCGAAAATTTGGGATTAATATTCTACGAACAGTTGTGTAACAAAACAGCCTAACGCCTGCGCAGTGTGTTTTTTTTTCGAACAAATGTTCTAAATTTTGGAATATCTTTCATTTTCATTGACAATATTTTGCGCACGCACAGTACAATGTAGCAGCTATGATTAGCAGTATTAGAAGCGTTTTTTGTTTATCCATTTATTTGAGTATAAGATTATGCTTGATTATCCTCGTGAAAAATTGCCTATTGTTTCGAACGCACACGCACTTTTTTATTTTGTGACTTGACGTGTGTCATGTATCGGGGGTTATTCGGTTATTCAGCCGATCACGGTAATCGGTAGTCGATTTATAACTAAATATGTAAAAATTTAATTATTTCTATCATTCAAACAAGTGATATTTACCCCCAATTAACAGAACCTACATTTGTATTGAAATTTCAAAATTTGACGCTTAGTTAGTACACAATGTCGCCAATCTAGTACAATTATTCCCTACTTTCTGGTACAATTTTTTCAGTGCTTATAGCATTCCTGCACTCAGTGATGAAACCAATGTTAGTGTTGGAATACCCCAGGGTTCAGTGCTTGGACCTCTTGAGTACTTATTGCATATACAAAATTTAAAGTTTGCGGACCTTAAAGCTGAATATTGTAAATTCTGTGATGATACGGTTATTGTTTTCTGTGGTGTGAGCAAACAAGAACTTGAAGTAAGCATCAATAGTGATCTCGATCAATATTCTAAATGGCTGTGTTACAACAAACTCAGTATAATTCTAGAAAAATCAGTTTATATGGAAAAAAACAAACAAAATGAATCCAGTAATTCAAATAAATGACCTAGTGTTAAAACAAGTTAAACAATATAAAAATCTTGGGCTGATAATTACAGATAAGCTAATCTGGAACACACATGTGGAAAGTATCATAGGAAAAGTGGCGTTGGTATTCTATAAATATGACTAAGGTCACAAGTCCTTTTATCTTTGTAGAATGTCCTTCAAAAAAAAAAAAACATAATAATTAAAAATTGATCTATCGTCAGAAAACTCCTTTCCTTCGTCTGTCTGTAAAATAATGTGAAACCACAAGTGACACGTTTATTTAAATTCGTCCAGAAAATTGCTCTCGGTGCAACATTTTGAAATAATGTATGGCGGATAAGAAAAGGTGATATCGTTTCCCTTTTTGCCCTTTTCCAAGGCATAATAAACCGGTTAGTGGATTCAACGAACATTTTACCAGAATTCGAAACGCAAAATTTACTTGTTTTTCTTTGTTCGGCTCTAGGGAGAAATCATTTTTTTTTTTTTTAAATAATGTACAATATTTTCAAATTGGAGGTTTTAATTAATCTACTGGAGGTAGAAAAGTTTTCAAAAACAAAAGCAACATAAAAGGGTTTTCCGGTTCCTTCTCGATAAATTTGCCCACGAGGTTTTTAATAAAAGTTTCCAAATCTTCAAAACTTTCTAAAGATCTTTTGTGTGCAACTATTCATTAAATGGAAATATATTTTAGTTTCAAGACCAAAAATTATAAAATTATTATTTTTTTTCTATATTGAAAGTAGACAAAATCTTAATTAAGTTTACACACAAAAACCACTTAAAAAAAAGTTTCTTTCTATCGAATTCCAGAGCGAAAAGACTCTATTTACTAATAGTTTTAAATCCCGGTTCGAGTTTCTGACATGCTTTGTTAAATTAGTTTACTTTGTCTGAGAAGTTTTTCGATGTTTACAAATTTGTTTACAATTTAGGGTAAATATCAAATTTTCCCCGAGAGTTAAACTTTCCCCCATTTACATGCTTCAAAATATATTTATAGTTGCAGTGTGGGGAGAATCGAAATTCAAATCGCACGGTTCAAATGAGAGTTTAGAAACTCGTAGAAGATGAATTTTCATAATTTTATCTGCTCAAAAAGGATGATAGGTTTATCAAAATTATTTGTCCCAGTCGTTGGTTTGAACTCAACAAAATTACTTGGACCCTTTTTCAATCTCGTTTACCACAACAAAGTCTTTGACCTCCTCCTAAATAACAAATTACCAAAAAAGTCTGTATTTTTCAAAAAAAAAAGTCTTCTTTTTTCCCAAAGGGTTGATTAAATGAAAATATTTATGCAGCAAGATGTGACATTTTAATTTCAAATCCAAAAAACAAAATGAGATTTTCATTGAAAGGCCGGGGCAGGAGAAATCAATTAAGATCACAGAATGTTTCCAAAAAGTCATAAGAAGCCTGAAGTCTTGGTATTCACTAAAAATTGAATCTATCAGGAAGAGGCAAAGTTCTATCACTTACAAGGTTATGAAATGCAACATTGCTGTAGACTTACACGAGGGAGTGGAACATCTATATGTTAAATGTATATGTATGTATATTAAAATTCATCTGGTTTATGAATATTTATGATGTTGAAGTAAATAAATCCATTAACAATTGGAATTGTGATTGGCTGTCAGTGAAAATTAATAAACCATATTATGTAAAAGTTGTGATAGTCTACAGACCTTGTTGGTATAAATGACCTGAATAACATTATACAGACTCACCAGGGGAAACTTTTGTGATTGGAGATATGAGGTTGGACTTGCTTTAACAGAATACTATTAAAAATGAACATGAAAATATTATTATTGGAAATGGATTTCAAATTATAAATACAAACACACAAACAATCATCGATCATGCCCTAATTAACATTAACCCCTTTGGAATTAAAATACAATTCTTTGGCATGGATATGATATATCATGAAATCAAGCTTATTGAAATAAAAAAGTTGAAAAATATCCTTAATTTACTCTTATATTAAAGTCTATTTTTTGAAAATAAAACAACAACATATCAGTACTATCTTCTTCTTTAACAGAACAGCCTTTAACACAACAACAGAAAACCGTATTGAAAAAATAACACTAAAAAGTTGAAGGGTCTTAGCTATGGGTCTTCCGGCCATTTGCACCGCTATAACTTAAGGGATACCAAATCTAAGTAGAGCTTCGAATGTGACTCTTGTAGAGACAAAAGTCACATTCAAAGCTCCACTTAGATTAAATATCCCTCAAGTGATAGCTGCGCAAATGGCCATTAGTGCACAAATGACACTTTAAGTGAATGTCAAAAATGGCAAATAAATACCATCACTAAAACCATTTCCACAATGTTCACATGTAATATAAAGTATCTTTTGTTAAAAACATATTAAGAAGTCAAAGCTCACTCATCAAACGGCTGACTAATGGCAAAAACGGCAAATACAATGACAAATTACATTCATTCACAGATGACATTTGCTTGTGGCTTTGCTATACTAGCGCCGCATAGCTTTGGCAGTCATGAAACTCTCATATGTGTTATTTTTAGACAGCTCCGAACGAACATTTAACATGGAAGTTTCCTATCTTTAGGACGGGTTAATCTGTGCTCCCATCTTTCAAAACTACAATTAAACCACCAGCAGATTTTAGCATAAATCTCAACACAGAACTTAAACGAAATCACTTTTCTTTACATCCTCCAAAAATAAACACCCACAAAACAGTTAGCAATAAAAATGTATCCTAAGGGTCAACTTTTACCATAATTATTTTTCCTGATTGCATGTCACACGAACCAAAAATAGAGGTGCTAATGAGATTTTCCTTTCAAACTTGTTGCTCGTTCTACTATCGATCCAATAATCGAAATTAAACTTACTTACAGTCAATAATAATAGCTCACTTGATGTTAAACAAAAACGATTGTTTGCTATCAAAATCCATAAAGTCGAGACACAGGAAATGATCCTCTTAAAATGTAACGAATACGTTGTTATCATGCAAATTAAAGCGACAGCGAAGTGTCAACGTTGTCTAAACCCTCGGGTTTAAATAGGCAGTCAAACAATTTGGCTTAATTAAGGACCGTTTCGGAATGTTTGGCTCAAATATAAAGTAAAAAATAAATAGTATATTGAGCGAATTTGGCCCTTCGATCAATTGTCAGGCCTATCGGGAACAATAAAGCACCTTGTTCACCCCTTGATCTTTTAATACGGACCGCAAATGTCAAGTAGATAGAGGGCGAAATTAATTGGTTTATATATCATCTAGGGGTTTAAGAAATATAATTTCCTTAACTTAAATCACACGTGGTTCGAACGAATCTCTATGATGGTGATTTTGCTGAATTGTATTACTTTGGGCATGTACCAGCCTTGCGTGGATAAGGACCCGTGTATTACCAACAGATGCAGAATTTTACAGGTATGTACATTCATCCTCTGAAAACTAGGCAAACAAAGCTTAAATATTTAATGGGCAAAATTATAAAGTTTGTTTGTAAATTTAAATGAATAAATGCCCACCGTGTATGGTAAAGTTATGAAATTTTGTTATGTAGTATTAAATCGTTAAATGTTTTATGTGGTAGTTTTGTATTATTTTATGTGAAGATTATTTTCCAGAGATTCGACGAGTTCATATTCGCCTTTTTCTCGTTGGAAATGACGATAAAAATAATCGCTATGGGTGCCTATGGGCCAGGTTCGTACCTGGCCGACTCCTGGAATCGGCTGGATCTTTTCATCGTCATTGCGGGTGCTGTAGAATACGGCCTGCCGAATTTCAACAACATCAATCTGTCGGCTGTTAGAACCATACGGGTGCTTAGACCGTTACGAGCCATCAATCGAATACCAAGTAAGTACCAAACAAAAACATAATGACTTTTATTTAGTAGCAATTCTAAATTATGAAGACTGTTAAGTTACAATTGACTCTATTTGTATGTACTTGAACAATAACTTATTATATAAAATCAAAATTTGTAAGATTTTTTCACTTTTTGTGAATTTACCTTTCATAAGGAATTAGTAATGTTACTTTACCAAACTAGTAACATAATGTGACAAGTTATTCAAGTACAAATGAGTGAATTATTGCGGAACTTATGAGTGGACTTCTGCGGGACGAGCGCAGTGAGTTCCGCAGCCATCTATTCATCAATATGTTGTTTAATTACGATATTAACCTGACTTACTCAAATGTGAGTTATTAGTTGGAAAACTACTCATTTTAGGCGAATGTCTTACTTGAACAGTTCAATAGTATATTGATAAGTAGATGGCTGCGGAACTCGCTGCGCTCGTCCCGCAGAGGTCCACTCATAAGTTCTGCAATAATCCACTTATCTGTGCTTGAACAATAACTTATTATATAAAGTCAAAATTTGTAGGATTATTCACTTTTTGTCAATTGGCCTTTCAACACGAATTAGTAATGTTACTTTACTAGTAACATAATGTAACAAAATATTCAAGTAAAAACGAGTAAATTGTTGCGGAACTTATGGGTGGACCTCTGCGGGACGAGCGCAGCGAGTTCCGCAGCCATCTATTTATCAATATGTTGTTTAATTACGATACTAACTTGACTCACTCAAATGTGAGTTATTCTCATTAGTTTAAAAACTACAAATTTCAAGTGAATGTCTTACTTGAACAGTTCAACAGTATATTGGTGAGTAGATGGCTGCGGAACTCGCTGCGCTCGTCCCGCAGAGGTCCACCCATAAGTTACGCAATAATCCACTTATTTGTACAGGGTGTTTTTTCATATATTGACACCCCACCCACAACCTTTACCTTTACAGGTAGAAGAAAAGTATAAATACAAAAGTTGTACAGTTTTAACTGAATTTTTAGAAACAATGGTTAGAAACAAAATTTGAATGTCAGAAATGTGAAATTTTGCATGCTTCCAGCGTTTTTCAAATGGGATGCCTTATATTTCATTCTATATTCTTGAGGATTATAATGCCCCGATCTATATTTGATTGAGCAATCTCTCAGGTGGGGTGTCAATATACAGGGTGGCGCACGAAAAACTTTTCACCCAAAGTTTCTCAGGTGTTAGGTGTTTAATCAAAAATCGCTCAGACATGTTAATTTTTGTTTTTTGGGGGACACATTTTATTGGTATTTTCAACCCCTACCTGTCAATCCCTAAGTGGGGGTAACAGGTACCCCCAAAATTTTAAATGAAAAGAGGGGTCGAGTGATATTTCATTTGATAGCTATTTTCATTAAGATTATATCACCGAAGCTTTAAGTTGCTACTATTTACCCTGCCGAAATGGCGGCATGTCAAAGTTAGGATAAATGCTTTTTTTCGATTATACAACTCACTGTAGATTATTCCAATAGGACACGAGAGGCTTAATAAGTGATAAGCCTTTTGGGATTATCGCGCTTAATGGTAATTATTATAGCAAATTCTATTATAGAAAAAAAATTGTTTCATTTTTAGGCGCGGCTCCTCTGTAAGGTCATTCGGTCAATGACCCTCCAAAAAATCAATTTGATTCTCAAAGATTACATTTTTTGTGTAATCTCAGTCTTTAACTGCTTCACAAAAATGGTTTCCCTTGTTCAGGAAATTATTTCTTCAATTTCTAGTAGTGGATTGACTTGACTTTCGAAAAACGGCGGTAGTCCCTCTAAATTTGACCCACCTGTAGAAATACTCACGAGCCGCGCCTGTTCATTTTGTATTAAAGTATAGTTCGTTATATAACCTTTTGAATACCACTCGATGTTTCAGGATTACCTAATAATACTTTTACCTGACACTCAACGCGTCACCAGCAACAGCTGCGTAAGGCGTTTCGTGACAGGTAAAAGTATTATCCGGTAATCCTGAAACCTCTTGTGGTATTACATTCGATAATCTAAACTGTATAGTTTTTACCTGTAACACCTATGCGTAGGTAACAGGTAAAAACAACACAGCATTTTTCCATTGATTTTCCCTAACTTTGACAAGCCGCCATTTCGGCAGGGTAAATAGTAGCAACTTAAAACTTCGGGGATATAATCTTAATGAAAATAGCTACCAAATGACATATCACTTGACGCCTCTTTCCATTTGAAATTTTGGGAGTACCTATTATCCCCACTTAAGGGTTGACAGGTAGGGTGTGAAAATACCAATAAAATGTGTCCCTCAAAAAACAAAAATTGACGTGTCTGAGCGATTTTTGATTAAACACCCAACACCTGAGAAACTCTGGGTGGAGGAAGTTTTTCGTGCCCCACCCTGTATAAAAAAACACCCTGTACAACAAATGTTCTTTTTTCTTTTCAATTGAAATACAAGTTGATTCAATTTTAAGCGGGGATTTTCGTGACGACCTTTTTCCATTTCCCGTTCGAGCGATAAGACGCAAGTTGAATTAAATTAGGGTAACTTCTAGGGGAAGTTCTTAGTGTAAATGCTGTTAGCGTAATTGATTATTTGTAGAGCTGAATAATCTCGATGCTGTTTTCCAGATGAAAATTCCCAATCGAAACTTCTGCCGTTTCTGTTTCACTCTAATATCAACACAAGATTATAAATTATTCATCACAGTAGGGATATCAAACTCCAAACTATTAACTCAAATCTTGGCCCTCGCGCCTGTAACTGTTGATCTCAAACAAACCCCAGGTCTATTTTGCATAGTGTGACGCCAACCTAATTTATATTCGATCTGTTTGTTTTATACAATATCAAGCAGATGGATCTTAAGCAAATCCAAAAACGCTTCAAGACGATGGGACAATCCTTTTAAGGTTTCAAATTCAATCAGACATATGAAATATTTTTGAATTGATTTTCATACGCTCCAGCATCGTGATGAATATTCTCCAAACTAAAATGTTCCTTTTCTCTCTCCCCCCAAGCCCAATTCTCATTGATTTTCAACGTGCAACAAGTATGTGCGTTGACCCCATTTTCCCCGGTTTTAGATAACAATACCTCGGCTATATGTGATGGACAATTTTCCATTAAATATTCAGTATTTATTTTCTGACAAAAAAATGTTTGAATCGTTTAACGGTATTTAATCGTCTCTGGGGGGGGAGTCGTTGTTCGGGCCCTGGATTTTAATTACGTTTCGATTATCGGTTAATATGACGTGAAATATATGTTCCGAATTGAACTGTGTTATTTCGCAAATTACGGCGACGACAAATTATCAATTTGGATTTATATTGTTCGTGAATTTACGACGGAATTACATTTATGAATGTAAAGGGTGTTTTATAGAACCAAAAAAAGTTACATTGCATTCCAATACAGTAAACAACATCAAAAAAAAAATTCCATTTTGAACTCAGAAATTCGAAATTTTGGTTATAGTTTCGGTAATTCTCAACTTGTATTATTTGAATCTGCTTTTCTTTAAAAAGATTCTACGGATCAGAAGTTCTTGGCTTTTGCAAATCTTGTTGCTTTCATAAAAGCACCCAGTCAAATGAGAAGTCTTTAGAGAAAATTTAGGAAATTTGCACAGCAAAAGCTCAGAGTTCAGGATCTAAAGTCTCTGAAGTTTATCCATAGAAGCACAAAGAAATTTTCAAGTTTCCTAAAATTAAAATTTTCTCGTAGAAGAATCAGGAATTTTGCATAGTAATGATTCAAGATTTGGAATCTGGAAAGTCGTTTTAGAAAACATCCAGGAACAATGGCTCAGAGTTCAGGTTCTAAAGTTTCTAGAATTTTTATTTTATTCCGTAAAAAAATGGAGAAAAATTCAAAAGCCTGGAATGGAAAAGAAATTATCGAGAAATTAGGCTTCAAAGTAGAAATTTTAATCAGTAGAATAGAATCCAAATGAAAAAGTATCCGGAGCTAAAATCCCGGAAATAACAGACGAATAAACCAATCTTTTATCCGACCAACCTATAAAATAGTGGCAAAATACGGTAGGTTAAAATTGAATCAATATCTGTCAAAGGAACTGTAAATATAAGGTTCCACACACATGTCTTTATTAAATTTTATTTATGTTCACTGCAACATTTTTTATTAAATTCGGGATTTTGATGGATTGTCTTATACATGAATAAATTATAAATACAATTCCTACTAAAAAATTGACATTGAAAGCCAACAAAAGATGTTGATGAGTTGGCTTTCCAGGCTTCCCTTTTTCGTACACAATAGGCACATAAGTAATAATAAATGTTGCCAGAACGGGAATAATGAGCGGAATCCAACTAGACGCTGTCAGCTGCAAAGCTCCGCATCGTAAATCATATTTCCGTTGAACTATTATTGTGTTTATTAGTCCCAAAAGTGAGGTCGTTTAAAGCTTACATTGAATATTATACAATATACAAAATTACATTAGGTTCTTATGCTCATAAAATCTCTCGAGAAAACAAAAAAAAAAACTTCATTTCGAGGATCGTTACGGTTACAAGGTAAAAAGATTTTCAGTCTATTTTTAGCTTTCAAAATTCAAAGAACAAACGAAACAAAGTAATTAGATGAATATTCTCTACCTCTTCAGGTGGGCTGAGAATTAGAAAATTTAATGATGATGATGTTTTAGTTGTTGATTGTTGAAATTTCAATATAAAATTGGGCACAATTTTCCATTAATTGGAATTTAATATCAAAGTATTCCTGGAGAATTCTTCAAAGTTTTCTGTTTCAAATTTCTAATTGAGAAAAACTTTGCTCGCTTCGAAGTTTACTTTCGAAGTAAACATTTATCCAAAAACGATATTTGAAAAGCAACCAAAATTAAACTGTTAAGCATGATGTGAATATTTAACTACCTAAAATATGTTTAAGCAAAAGTTTTAAAATCGAATAAAGGAAGTTGAAGTAAGATATTAAATTCAATAATGATATTTGAAGAGCGATTA